TGCAAGTCATCTTGTTTTACAGTGTGACAATTTGAGTACACTGTACTTCATAAATCCAAGGGTTTCTTCACGGGTGAACCCACCAACGTCAAGCAGTAGGACGGGACAGGAGGGCAGAGGGAACCTCAATAATCGACCAAGATGGCGTCTGGAATCTGGATGGAAACTATGAATACAGCTGAATTTGGCCACTAAGTTCATTGCACCTCTTCTGCTTGCTGGCTTCCTGTCAACGCGTTCTGGGGCTGCTTCCACTAAATTCAAAATTCAACACTGCCCCTGTCGCAGTGTCCCAGTTCATCGCCTTCCGTAGCTCACCCTCTGAGGGAGCAGCGAACCGACAAGGCATAACAAGCTGCATAACATCTCATTCCCAAATCTTCGATCAGTAACACACAGCACTGCTTTGGAAGCTCGCTTGAGCGCTTGAGCTAGCTAGCAAATAGCCGGTGGTACCGATACCCTCCCTTACAGTCGACCACATCGCAAGCTCGTTCTGGCTGCACAAACCCCGTAACTTGCTCTTCCTGAGCTTCTTCCTGTCACAGTGAGAGCCCTCTACTCTGGAGTAGCTAGCCGGCAGTAGCCCTAGTCAAACCTTCATCAGCGCAGCATGAACCTCCATAACTCAATCAAATGTCAATTGCTGCTACTAGTTGCTCAGCTGGTCTTGCCAGCACTCCTTGCAGAGGTGTACCCCCCAAGGAAGCTTCGATCAACGGTAATACAGATAGAAGACCACGATTCAAACCGGGTTGGTGAGATAGAATGGACTGAATCCGCCACCACAGCCTCCCATGGGATCGATCGGTGGGAATGGGAAACTCAGTTCTTGAGTGAGATTGAGGTTCAGGTGGAAAGCAGCCAGAGGAATCTTCAGCTCAAGGCGGAGAAGAAATCCCTTCGATTTGCAGTGTTGGGTACAAACACAGTTGGAAAATACCAAACCATGGCTCTTAGGGGATGCCAGGATGCAGCGGCTCGTCTGTTGGAATCAGATGGCATCGAAGCAACATGTGATCTCTATGGGGCCATGACCAATACAGATTCCAAAGAGATGCTGGCTGTCCAGAAGTCTTATTTGTCTCAAGTCGTGCAAGCAGCAATTGACGCCAAGCATGACAATATTATTAGTGGTGATGGCGAGGCTGACACCCTGCCTGAAATCAAAGGCAACAATACCAACAGTACTCATGCACCTGCTCACGAGAGCAATATGTTATATGATGGAATCATGGTGTCACCCATTGTCCCTGCTGTCATCGGCCCCCTGTTGGATGAAGCAGTGGAGGCAGGGATTGCTGTGGTGACCTACGAGACAGATGCTCCAGACTCCAAAAGGGCTGCTTACGTTGGCACCAATAACACTTTCATGGGGATGCAACTAGCCAGGGTACTCAAGCAACTACGACCTGAGGGAGGCTCCTTTGCTACACTTTGGGCTCCAGTGGGGGACTCATTTGTGCAAAGAACAGAAGGGTTTCGATTTGAGTTGCTCAATAACAGTGATCCTGATGTTGCATGGGAAGAAGTTCCCAACAGCCCAGCCCCTGTTACCAAACTAAAAGATGCTATGGAACAACTGAACAGCTGGGCCAATAACACTCTCCACCCACCAACTGCAATTGCAGTCCTTATCAACCCATTGTTTGATGCACCTCACTATGAAGCACTGGTTAATCGATACCGCCACCTGAACATCACCTGGATTGGTATTGGTGACACTGAACGACAAATGGATCTTTTGGATCGAAACTATGTCCATGGGCTTCTGGGTCATTTACCTTTTGACATGGGCCTGACTTCTGTCGAGAACATGATGAATGTCATCCAGGGTAGGCCAATTGAACAAGAATACAAACCTACCAATGTGGTCTCCCACATTCAGATACCAGTGGTCCTGCCAGAACTGGTGGTTGATCACAACCGAGTGGGGAAGTTAGCTATCATTGGATACATCTTCTTTGCTTTCACTGGTCTGACTTCCTTGGTCTTGGGATCCTGGGTTTGGTACTTTCGGAATACGCGAGTTGTCAAAGCATCTCAGCCAATTTTCCTCCTGATGGTTGCCATCGGTGTCTTCATAATGAGCTCTGGTGTGGTTCCTTTGGGATTGGATGACAGTCATGGAGATTCGGTAGCACATCATGTTGCGATTTGCATGTCACCTCTGTGGCTTGTCTGCATAGGATTCTCCGTGGCATTTGCTGCTCTATTCAGGTAATTACAGGACGATACTGGCCTTGCATCCGGACCCTACCCAGAACTCACACTCTCTTGGCCTGTTCTTCCAGTAAAACACGCCGAGTTAACCAGATCTTCAAAGCTGGATCAGCAATCACCCGCATCAAGATCAAGACACATCATGTCATGTTGCAATGTCTTGGCTTGCTAGGGGCCAACGTTCTCGTTTTGTCCCTCTGGACTGCCTTGGACCCACTCACATATACCCGTGCAGATGATCCGGGAACAGATGGGTGGAATCGAGTTCTATCAACAAGTGGCACATGTCAATCAAACCAACTTGCACCCTATTTGGTTCCTTTGGTTTTGGTCAACTTGACTTGTCTTGGCATTGCCAATTGGCAAGCCTATGAAGCCCGCTTTATCCAGTCAGAGTTCTCAGAAGCCAAGTACATTGGCATCACCTGTGTTTCCATGATGCAAACGGCATTGATTGGGATTCCAATTCTCATTGTCGCTCATGATCACCCAGAAGCTCTCTATCTTATCATTGTCTGCATGATCTTTGTTGTGAGCATGGCAATTCTTTTGCTCATTTTCATTCCCAAGATGGTTCTCATGGATAACTATGCGAGGCACAGCACCCGCACTCAGGGTCGAATGATCCAACAAGTGATTCGGGACCAGGCCCAACAATCAAGTGCCCTTAGTAAGAAGAAGAGTCAGGAACCGTCCTGTTTTTCTGGCCTGGACACAGCAGCTGAGACGGGCATGGGCACAGAGAGCTCCTATTCACATGAAATTGGGACCACTAGGCGCCTTGCAGTCTATGGACACATGCCCCAGCCGACTAATGGCATAATTGAAGAGAATGCTTGAAATGGCAAGATTCAACATCTCCACCCACCTGGGATGGAGGACGACACGGAAAAGACAGACTCGAATCTGGCAGGGGAAGTGGGCCATCACGGGCCTGTACAATCCGACCTGGCAGCTGCCACAGGAGGGGATTCTCAGCTCGCCACGATGGACCAATATATGCATGGTTCTTCAAGGCAAACATCTATCTGGATCCTCTCACTTTCTTCGAATTGAGTCTCGACACACTTAGCGGTCTACCAACTAGCTAGTGGTTACGTCTATTGGAGGAGTCCTTGGCAGAGCGAATTTGGTCAACTCGGAGGCTCTCGAGCGCAGAAACTAAAATTCCTTTGGCTTATTCTATAATAGATTGGAAGAGTTTGACCCCCAGACTGCTGCATCAATCAATCCACTTTGTTAGGAAAGGTACTGGAAGGCAGCACTTTAGAGCTCATCAAAGGCTTCTCTCTCTTGTAGGAACTTCTGTAATGGTATTAGAGCCACCCTAGGCTCCTGCAAGGCTTGTGCCGATATGGTGCGTCGGTGGACCTTCAATGGTCACCGGCAACACGAAACACTCACGCCGTGGTCGCATTTTGCGTGAACTCGTCTCTTCCCATATCCAACTAGCAGCCTCTTCTCTGTTGAACAGATGTAGATAAAGAGTAAACAAGAGGACATTGTTAGCATTAAAACATAGACCACTTAAAGTAGCGTGGTTGCGGTCGTTCGAGTTACTCGCCTGCGGCGACTGATATCTTCCAGCGCGCGATCCAAAATGAAAGAAAATAGGATTCTGGAAACACAGGAAGACGGTCTTGAGGACTGTGTATGCAATTCTGTTTGTTCGACTACTGCTAGAACGGTTCCACCTATGCATCATCTCCATCTGGAGGGATGCCACACAAATCGAGCATGCTGCTTCGAAAAAGGAAAGTCCCGTAGCGTGGAACTGGCTATTCTCCTGTCAACATAGGCTCCACGGAGTGTAAAGATCTAGCTAGCTAGCGACGCGAGCAACAGGTTACGATATCTGATAGCTTTGCTGGCGTCAATGGATCCGTCAAAGGTTGGCCATCCCCGGAACCCGGAACCCGGGAACACTTCAGGAACACAGAACACAGTGAACCAAATGGCAGCTATTTAATTAGGTCCGAAACAAAATGAACCAGTAAAGTTGACCAAGAAGTCTCTGGAATAGATCTGGAATACACCTAAAAACATCCCGCCTGTAAAAGCCTCGAAGTTGTCTTAAATCCCAATAGCTTCTTCAAGTCTCTTTAAGCGTGAATTTATTACTCTGAGTACCGTAATATCGTTCAGAGAGCGAGGGTTCAGGAGTTGCCGCAGTTAGGACGCGTCTGGGTGAACCTCAATCGATAAGCAAATAGAAATCAACCGAATAATTTTTTACTAGTTTTCTTAATTTTCTTTATAATACTCGTAGCGATTCCATAAAATTAATGATCTTTAATAAAATAAAATTCATTTGGGCTCCTTCAAAGAATTGTGAAATTCATGGCTTTCTAGGAATCCGGAACTTTGCGCAGGTTTTCTTGAAAAGAACCAAGCCGCAAACCGTCTTTACCCAGTGAGACTTTTGTCGCTAAAACTCCTTTTTCCTTCTGCCTTTCTACCGGTACTCTCACAGAACACAGAAGTCACCTCTGTCCAATAAAATCCGTTTTACCAGCCACCATACAAGGCTCCTTTCTTGCTTCCCCACATTTGGCTCGCCCCAACTTCTACCATTGTCCACTAAAACGGTTCCGCCACACACAGCGACCGTCCTCAGGTAGCCAACATCTCGACGGACTTGGCGCCTTCCATTACAGAAGCCCCAGCGACAGACAAAACTTCATCAGCACAACATGAGCCTCCGTACCGGTAGCTCAGTCACATATCGTTTGCTGCTGCTAGCTGTTCAGCTGGTCTTGCCAGGACTCCATGCAGAGATGTATCCCCCGAGGAAACTTCGATCAACAGTGATACAGATCGAACACCAGCAATCAATCCGTGAGATCGAATGGACTGAATCCGCCACCACAGCACCACATGGAATGGAGCCCTGGGAAATGGAATTTCAGCTCTTGGGTGAGATTGAGGATCAAGTGGAAAACAGCCAGAGGAATCTTCAGCTCAAGGTGGAAAAGCAATCCCTTCGATTTGCAGTGTTGGGTACAAACGCAGTTGGAAAATACCAAAGGTTGGCTCACAGGGGGTGCGTCAGAGCAGCTGCTCGCCTGCTGGAATCAGATGGCATAGAAGCCACATGTGATCTCTATGGGGCCGCGACTAATACCGATACCCAAGAGATGCTGGGTGTCCAGAAGTATTACTTGTCTCAAATCGTCCAGGCAGCAATTGACTCCAAGCATGACAATATTATTAGTGGCGATGGTGAGACAGACAATCTGCCTGAAATCAAATCCAACGCCACCAACAATACTCATGCACCTGCGCACCAGAGCAATATGTTATATGATGGAATCATGGTGTCAGCCATTGTTCCTCCTCTCATCGGCCCCATGTTGGATGAAGCAGTGGAGGCAGGGATTGCTGTGGTGACCTATGAGTCAGATGCTCCAGACTCCAAAAGGGCTGCTTTCACTGGCACCAATAACACTTTCATGGGGATGCAACTAGCCAGGGTACTCAAGCAACTACGACCTGAGGGGGGCTCTTTTGCTACCCTTTGGGCTCCAGCCGGGAATGCATTTATTGAAAGAACAGAAGGGTTTCGATTTGAATTGCTCAATAACAGTGATCCTGATGTTGCATGGATAGAAGTTCCCAACAGCCCAGCTCCTGTTACCAAAATAAAAGATGCCATGGAACGACTGAATGGCTGGGCCAACAATACAGACAACCGTCCCACTGCAATTGCAATCCTTGTCAACCCAGTGTTTGGTGCACCTCAATACGAATCACTTGTTGATCGATACCGCCACCAGAACATCACCTGGATTGGTATTGGCGACACTGAACGACAAATGGATCTTTTGGATCGAAACTATGTCCATGGGCTTCTGGGCCAGCTGCCTTTTGACATGGGCCTGACTTCTGTCGAGAACATGATGAATGTCATCCAGGGCAGGCCAATTGAACACGAATACAAACCTACCAATGTGGTCTCACACATTCAGATACCAGTGGTCCTGCCAGAACTTGTCATTGATCACAACAGAGTGGGACAGTTGGCTATCATTGGACACATCTTCTTTGCTTTCACTGGTCTGACTTCCTTGTTCATGGGATCCTGGGTTTGGTTCTTTCGGAATACACGAGTTGTCAAAGCATCCCAACCAACCTTCCTCCTTATGGTTGCCATCGGTGTCTTCATAATGAGCTCTGGGATGGTTCCTTTGGGATTGGATGACAGTCATGGAGACTCTGAAGCCCATCGTGTTGCGATTTGCATGTCACCTCTGTGGCTTGTCTGCATAGGATTCTCCGTGGCATTTGCTGCTCTCTTCAGGTAAGTGCAGGAACATGCAGCACTTGTTACTAGCCTTGGTTCAACAAAACTCCCAAGTACTCATCCTCCCTCGCCTAATCTGCCAGTAAAACCCGCCGAGTCAACAAGATCTTCAAAGCCGGATCAGCAATCACACGCATCAAGATCAAGACGCATCATGTCATGTTGCAATGTCTTGGCTTGTTAGCAGCCAACGTTCTTGTTTTGTCCCTCTGGACTGCATTGGATCCACTCACCTATACCCGTGCAGATGGTCCAGGAACAGATGGGTGGAATCGAGTTCTATCCACAAGTGGGACATGTCAATCAAACCAACTTGCACCCTATTTGGTTCCTTTGGTTTTGGTCAACTCGGTTTGTATTGGCATTGCCAATTGGCAAGCCTATGAAGCACGTTTTATCCAGTCAGAATTCTCAGAAGCCAAGTACATTGGCATTACATGTGTTTCCATGATGCAAACGGGATTGATTGGGATACCAATTCTCATTGTAGCCCATGATCACCCAGAAGCTCTTTACCTTGTCATTGTCTGCATGATCTTTGTTGTGAGCATGGCAATTCTCTTGTTCATTTTTGTTCCCAAAATGGTCCTCATGGATAACTATGCCAGGCACAGCACCCGCACTCAGGGTCGAATGATCCAACAAGTGATTCGGGAGCAAGCCCATCAATCAGGTGCCCTTAGTAAGAAGAGGAATCAGGAACCTTCCGGTGTTTCTAATGTATCTGGCCTGGACACAGCAGCTGAGACGGGCATGGGCACAGGGAGCAGCCATTCCCATGAAATTGAGACCAATAGACGACTTGCAGTCTATGAAAACATGCCCCAGCCGACTAATGAACATGATGTGGCCCCTGTAACAGAATCCAGCAGCTTGAATCGGTCCGAACATCCAGCTTGGACGGACGAGGACGTGGGAAAGATTGACTCTGGAAGGGGATGATCGCTGGCACAAACCAACCAGCTCTAGGGCAAAATCAACCAAAACAATAGTTGTCCCATTGGGCAGCTGCCAACGGAGGGGATTCTCCGTGAAAAGGGATCCTATAGATATACACTAGATCGCCGGTACAAACCAACCAGCTCCAGGGCAAAATCAACAAAAAAAGAGTTGTCCCATTGTGAAAAGGGATCCTATAGATAGACACTACATGTAGATGTAAACTCTTGCATGCTAAATACGTACGGCCAAACTCGTCAGCTCCCCATGATGGGACCAATATGTTGATCTCGTGCAAGGCAACCATAAACTAATCCAGATAGATCCCCTCACTTGCTTTGATGCATACTAGCTGGCGGTCTTGTAGCTAGCTATCGGGTACGGTACACTTGCTTGTCCAAGGAGCTGTCGGACGCAGAGTGAATTTGTTGGTCAACTCGGAAGCACTCGGTGGTACCGGAACGGATTCTGTACGGACGCAGCGGAAGCAAAAAATGCGTTGGTATCACCAGTGTTTTCGTTTATGGCTGCTCTGGCTGGCTGCCCTCAATGTACCTCGTCTCCGAGTCCAGTCGTTCGCCGATGTACAGGCCGTACAAAAAATTTGGTCAACTCGCACTTGATACGGTACCGGTATGGTACGGACTCTGGGAAGTAAAAATGAATTGGTGTCACCTGTGTTTTTCTTTTCAGGCTGCTCCTGCTACCGTACAGTATACGGTACCCTCAAGATACGTGTACTTCGTTGGTGGCGGTTGTTGCTTGTCGGCACCACGAGCAAAGTCATGGCACCTCGATGTACAGGTGGTAGGCATTAGGAATCAAGGGGATAGAAACGACTATGGTGCTTGCTACGGCGGTTCCGAATCGTCTGAATACCGGTACAGTACGGCATGTCTAGAAGGACGTACAGAATTCCTCTCGAAATTCTATTCCGATTTGCGAATAAATAGCCATCTGCCTAGCTAGTTACCTACTAGCAAGCAGCCCATAGGATACGTAGTCTATTCTATTACTATGATACCGACGCTGCCGCACACTCTTCTTCCATTGGTTTGGGCGCCAAATCGATGGGAATATCCAATTCTCCTGCCGCTCTTAGTGCGTCTTGTGCCACTTGTGCGGCAGTGGATTGCGGTGGTGTTTTCATTTGTACCAAGTGTCGCGTGTTACGGCTTTCCGTATCCATGACTTGTTGATACATTTGAGGTGCCATTTGGGCTAGTCTCGGAGCACGTTTCTGGGCTAGTATGCGACTCATTTTGCGATAGGCGAGCCGTCGATACGCAAACGCTTGTCCGACGTCCCACAAATAGAGCGTATTGGGTTTGACGGCGGCGCCTTCGACTTGTTCCAACCAATCGGCCAGTGTGAGTTCGACAAAATCGAGCCATTCGTCGTGAGTCAGTGTCATTTCGAAACGTCCCAGTTCGGGGCGGGCAACGAGTGTATAGACCGTGTTGTTGTTACTCGTAGTAGTGGAAATGTCATAATCCATGACGGTTTGGTCGAATGTGGATCGATCCAACATGCAAAAGACAAACGCCAATTTTTCCGCTCTTTCTCCAATCAACGCTCGTACGCCATCTCGTTGCGCTAGCGGCAGTGCGAATCCTTGAAATCCTTCCGTTCCATAAATGCTGTGAAAGAGTCCGGCATGACACAAATAGGTGGGAGCCCCCCAATGGCGAAGGACCGCTTGAACGCCTTTTAAATGTTCATCGAAAGCGGCACTGCCCGTATGCTCCAACACATCGGGGACGTGTTCTTGAACGTAGTTCCAGAGTTGTTCGTCCTCTTGATGCCATTGGTTTGCTACTTGAGGTGGAGTGCCCCGATGAGGTGCCTTGAAGCGACACGAGACGGTTTCGCACTCGTCCGTGCCCCACAGTTCTACTGGCTCTTCTGTCGCGTGGACGACAGACAATAAAAAGGACAAGCAGACAAGAAGAAGAAGGCGACAAGACTTTATCATCGTCATCATGGTGGTTGTGTTTCTATTTTCTATGGCTGCGTACCGGGGGGGCTGTCTCTCGAACTCTGGAAGGTGGTGCTTTGGATCTTTCTTCGTTGCTGACATGGATGAGAAGCCAACGGCGGGAATGCAATCGATGACGTCAGTCATGAATGAAAGATCTCTCTTTGGGATGCGTTGCTTCGTTGTTTCAGTTTTCGTCGACCATGACAAAGAGCCACAAAGCCGCTGTTGTTCCATAGTAGTACCTCGAGTCAAGAAGACAAGCTATGCCCACCATGAAGATCCTCCAAATCCTTGTCTGCGCCCTCTTGGTCGGATACTCGAAGGCGTTTACTGCCAGTTCCCAAAAGAGGAGACCAACAACGGTGGCTCGTCCACAATCCAGCACGGCCGCGTCGTCTTGGTTTGCCGAACCTTCCACATCCGACGATGATACAGCATCATCATCCAATTTATCCCTGGAACAACTCAAAGCCCAAATTCTGCAATTGGGTGCGGCATTGGATCGAGGACAATCCTACAATCCCACCAGTGGCAGTTACTACGAGACCAACATGCAACTCGCCAAGGCCAAAATTACACAATTAGTCCAACAACATCCCAAACCGGCTCTGACTTTGGAGCAAATGGCAGGAGAATGGGAATTGGTGCTCAGTACAGTCGCCCACGGCATTTTTCGATCCAGTCCTTTTTTCTTGGCCATTCAAGAATCGTACGAACGATATGCCGAAGACGCCACAATTGGCGATGAACCCAAAGCCAATCTCTTTTTTCGATTGCACGAACTGCAAACGTGCTCCTGGGGTGTTTCCAAAATTGGACGCGTTGCACAGACTATTCGACCTTCCAAGGACAATGCCGATCAATATTATCTCTACAGTGAATTTGATACATCCATCTTTAGTTTGACCGTCATACCCATTCTCGGGTGGTTCAAAGTGAGTGTTTGTATTTGTTTTTGCTTGGTTTTGGGCGTTGTGTGCCACTGCAAAATCAGTCCAGAGTGATACTGACGCTAGTGTCCTTTTACTTTTCTCTAACTACTCTCATAGCTGCTTCCCACCTTTGGTGGATGCGTCATTACCGCCGCCAAATGTGACACCATGACACCAGACGAACCAGGTGTACTCAAAATGGAGGTCGACTACACCACGAGTCGAAAGGTGCCAGGATTGTCGGGGTTGCCGTTGATTGGAGATAGTATTTGGAAAGTCAAGGTTCCCGTGGGTGGTACGTACGGTATCGCACAGTATCGTCTCGGTTCTTTTGTTGGACTCCTACTACTACACACACACACAACACAACACACAGTGATATATTATTGGTTTGCTTCGCTCTTACACAACTCCTTGTTTGTTTGTTTCATGCTTGCGTATGTATGTGTGTTGTAGCCATCTGGAAGTTGCTTCCTTGGAATCGGGGACGACCCGCATCCTGTGAAGTCACGGTACGGTATGTCGATGACGACTTTCGAATTGTGGAAGACGTTTCGGGGGACTTTTTCGTTTACACGAGGCCGGTGGTAGCACGGCCGCTCGATGACGATGTTTAATAAAAAGTTATGTACAGTTAACGCTCGCTTATATTTATAATCTTATATTTATTCGCTCTATAATATTTATTATATCTCGAGTTCCCCCCCCCAGTCACGAGTGACCGTGAATGACGTCAGTACACCCTTCGCAAATCTCGTAGCAGCAAAACAATCGCTCGCAATCCATCGCAAACGGTCCAATTCGACAGAGACATACGTGTAAATGCCAATGCATGCCAATGCATGCCGATGAGGTGCCCATGGGAGTTCGCTTGCCTGTCCATTCTCTGCCAGTCCGCGCAAATCTTCGTTCGTGGGGTTTTTCATGGTGTTTTCGCGAGATTTGCGCAGAATGGCAGAGAGGAGACAAAAACAATTCTCTGAGCAACAAAACAAGTGCAAGCAAACCATAACAATTCCTCCAATCCGACCTAGACCAACATGAACGGCGCCAACATGAACGGCGCCGGAACCTGCCGATGTGTTTGCCTCATTTGCCGAAGCTGAAGAGGCGCTCAATAAGCTGTCCGAAAGTGCCTCCAGCTTGGGTATCAACCAAGCTGCTACTGTGCATCTTGATAGGTTTGCCAGAGCCTTGAATATGGCCAGGGCGACAAGGGCTGGCAAACGCAAACGTGATGGCACTCTCCACTCGTTCTTTACTAGTGGTTAGTAGCAGTAACGCTCTATATTTAGACACACTGTTATAATATTTACTGGATTCCTGAATCCCCCCCTGTATATATATCTGAATGTTGACTGTACCGTACCGTATGCACCAGCCATACAGTAACTACACTACTAGCTAGCTAGCGCACCGTACACGGGCTGCGATGACGAGATAAAACTACTATATGTAGTACACTGGCTGCTATCGGAGGGCTGTATACAGTACTCCAGACCAGTCGACAGTGTCATTTAGGAACAAGATCGACCTGTGCTGTGGGTAGTCTAAAGATTCCAGAGTCCTCCAAACGCGATGACAGATGATGATTGGTGGTCATACGGTTGGTATCGTTGAATTCGCAATTCAGATTGGGAGGCTTCAAGGGTTAGGGGAGGACTGAGCAATGCAGAGGAGAGGAAATCATGGTGAGCCGGGGAACCAAGAACGGAGCAGGTCAGTTGATGAGGTGGACAGGAAGGCAGGGAGAATGCACCAAGGGAGAGGGGAACTACCTAGCGAAAGCAAGGGCAAAGGTTAGCGATAGAGGGCGAGGGTGCTACCATCACCCCTTGGAGCTCGTAGTAGGCATACGAGGCACATCCTAGCTACTCGAGCAGGGGCAATGTTGGGCAGAGACATAGAATCAAACCACAGAGCTGCGCTTGGACCAGTTCTGAGCCAGAATGGAAACTGTCGTCGCCCTCAAATTGGCTAGAACCCACTCACAGGCATACCCAGTTGTATGGCGCTTCCGAACCCTGTTTGTCCTTGCTCCTGGGTTCCATATTTGTCATTGCCACTTACAGTTCGTCTGTATGCATAGCTCGATTAAATCTTTCAAATCCTTCGAATGACCCATCGAAGGAGCACATGGATCCACGGTCGTTCGTCTCCACGGTCTCATTCCTCATGATCACACCCATATTACAAAGAGAGCTTGGCTGCGTACCTCTTCCAAGGTCTCTCCTCTCCTCAGTTTTGTTATCATTACAGATAGCTTGTTGATTTGTTGGCATGGAACGCCATATGCACGAACTTTTCCGCGAGAAAAGCAAATCTCCATTTCAGCAAGGTAGTCTACCTGTACCTGGTAATGTGCGTTTTGGTTGCCTCTAAGCAAGACAAGCTATAGCACTCTTATCAAACCGATCGTACATACAATTGGTTTGGATGTAGAGTTCCAAATAGTAGTTGGGTAGTACTAGTAGCACCATTAGCTGGCCATGAATGATTGATGCTTTGTTGGTTGAGGAAATCCACGTTTAGGCGCCACGCTCTCCTGCGGTTCGAACGACTTGCACGCTACTGGCCTGCATGCTCTGCGCCAACTCGGGTGGGCTGCAGCTGCGTTGATTTCCTACCAACAATATTTTTCATCTCTGTCTGACACGTCAAGCCAGGCGCTCGTCGGAAACTCTGGCCTCCACTGCTACTACCGCCCATACTTCGTCTCTGCTTATTTGCTTGCAGTAACTCTTGATCCAACCATGGACGACGATCATGGCAAGCCCCCTGCAAGTGAGAAGAGCGACGAGGGCGCAAATGCAGAGATACCATTCGAAAGGGGATCCCCTCACACCCTTCAAGAGCTCCTGCGGACACTGTCTGTAAACGAAAACGATGATACATTTCTTAGCCTGAGTGCTCTGTTTGAAGCCCTCACTTTGCAAGAACAAGCCATCGCGGAGAGTGCATCCGAGGAAGAGCCCAGTCCTGAAAAAGCCCAAGACGAACAGCCTGGTTGTGCCGCTGAAAACTTGGAAGCCACAGCTCAAGTCGACCGTGGCGATGAATCAAAACAAGCTGACGGTACCGGTACATGTTCCGGTGCGACTCGATCAGTGAGTCCAACCGCGTTGCTTCACAACATTCAAGAAGTCATTCAAGGGCTGGTGGATTCAGCTGATGACCCAGATCTATTGATACTAAGTCAAGATTTCCTCGAGTTTGTAGCTGGTGAATCAGGAGACAGACGCGACAGCGCAGCGGCTGACAGTGTCCTCGAATGCGCAGCACGCAACTCAGATCGATCTCTAGAGGACCAAGAGCTGCACGGGAGAACCCCGCATGAAACAGACTCGGACAGCAATGACAAGGGCCCGACGACAAGCACCGAGGCCAACACGCCCAGTGAAACCAACAAGACGGATAAGGTAGAAACGCCGCAGAAGGCTCAAGACGGCAAGAAAAAGCGTGGTCCCTACAACAAAACAGAGGTTGTGCACTTTCCAAGGAGACTCCTGGAACACATCGACCCAGATATCATCAACCAAGACGATAGGCTGATCAAGGCTCTTGAAGGTTCCAAGAAGAGCTTCTCGCGAGAGGATGGTGCCACCCGCGGTCCGTACAAATGCAACCAATGTGGCGCGAATCAGACCTCAGAAGAGCACGAATGCCCCTTTGTCAGGGTTGACCGCCGAGCTTTGGGTGAGGTGCGCGAAAACTTTCCTGACCTACCGAAATCATGGCAAGACATCTTGGACCTTTACAATGATCTAGATAGGATTCGAGACAACAACCCCCCACGAAAACAGGCTGAGCACAGTTTGGCCGCCGAGGGAGACAGCTCTGAGAGTGCTACAGCTTTGGAAACCGCAGGAGCCAATGACGAAGAAGTAGCTTCGGCGACAGACCAAGGAGACTTTGAGCCTTCGGGAACTGATCCTCTTGTCGTTTCTATGGCTACCGACACTGATCAAGATGACACAGCGAACGAAGGTGAAGATCAAGATACCATGGACGAGTCAGAAAACACGGTACGAGTATGGATGTTACAATCACCAGGGATGCGGAGGGCTGGGGGCTTGCATTGCTTATTCTCATCTGTGCTGCCTGCTTCTTGGACTCTGAAACTTCCAAGGAGGAGAGCTCTGTCAAGAAGAGGCGGGTAGGATAAATCCACGTTCAGATTGGCCTTCGTGGATCGATTCGACGGTTCTTGTCGAGGAATGTTTTACAAACACAATTGTTTGTGTTTATCTGATGGAACCTGGTCGGCGGATTCTGAGGAGGACGATGTTATGGGCAAATTCAGCAGTTTTGTAGAGGAAGAGGCTAGATACACGTAGACTAAAAAGAAGTGATAAAGGAAGCACATCTTCGGCTTTCAATTGAGATAAAGGACAGTGTACAATGAGCACGGCGTGTTGTTGGGCGGCTTGGCGTACTATTACCGTGAGCTTTGGCATCGATCATCGAATCAGCGAGGGGCAGAGAGAATGATAATGATAGGTCTAGCTAGCTGGTGTGGTTCTCGTATAACATCCTCCACTCTCTGTAATGTACCGCTATCCGCTATCCTCGAGGATATCTGAGTGGGCGGGTTTGGGGGGTGGGGAAATCTTTACAATAGTCTAACGAATGTGTCTCCAATGGACGGATGGTGGAGGTCTTCCGCGCCATCTGTTGCTTCCCCAAGTTTGTTTTAGCAGATCCGCGATCCGCCAGATCTATTGTGGTTCCTGGTACTAAGTAGATCTGGCGAGTCTAAAACTCTAAGTCTATAAATAACGGACTCCGGCAAACAGGTAGTGTCCGGCAAACTTTGAACAACCTGTGCCGTAAGGACACTATTCGTACCCGGCAAAGATTGAGGGCCGCCCCAGAAATGGCAACCGTACAGTCTCACAATTTTAACTTCCAGCAGCTCCAAAGCAGCCAGCCAAAAGTCAAGTCAAGCAATAACTCCAAGCAACAAACAATCCAAAATGATGCGCATTTTGTTCCTCTCCATGCTCCTTGCAGTCTTGATTGCCATGGCGTCTGCTGCTTCCCACCAGGATGAACCCGGTCGTGTAAGTCCATTGCTGTTGTTGCTTCTTTGCTTGTCTTACTTGCTTGGTTGTCCTTTGTAGCTCATCCATCCACTCACATACATACATACATACATACATACATACATACATACATACATGCATATACATGAATGTTTCAGGTGCTTCGTACCCCTGCTTCCCACCAGCCCAAGCATGTAAGTCCCCTGCTGTAGTAGTTGTTGCCTTCTTTTGTCTTACTGCCTTGGTTGGCTGGTTGTGCGTCCTTTGTACTATTTGTTCATCCACTCACACACATGCGTGCATGAATATTTCAGGAGATTCGCAAACTTGATGAAAGTGGAGAAAGTGGAGATGAAGGTGGTGAAGGTGGAGACAGTGGAGATAGTGGAGATAGTGGTGATGATGACGACGAATCGGACTGCTTTGATACTTGTTGGGGTGACGCTACTGATGACGAGATCGATGCCTGGACTGAGGACCAATGGATTGAATGGGGGACTTGTGCTGATACAGCCTGTGATTGCACGGATGACGAATGCGCAGCTGATGCGGATTGTTCGGAGGCTACTTGTACTTAGATGAATGCATCCATGGAGACGAATGAAGAAGGAATGAACGAGGATGGAAGGAAGGAGGAGAATATCAAGATGGGCATCAATCAAGATGCGCAATGAGGATCGGTTGGTTTGCTGGCGAGTTGCTCCACATTGATGGCTGGCTGCATGGTTGGTTGGCTAGAAGAAGTGTGTGTTGCAGCAATTCCCAGGGAATCAGTATTGGAGGAGGATGTCATGCCATTTACTTTATAGATGCATTGCTAATAGAAAGAAAAATGAATCGAATCAATGTACCTACTGGCACTCGCTGTTAGCTAGCTAGCTAGCTAGCTAGCTAGTAGAAGGAAACGTAAGGGAGGAGGAAACGTAGAGAGCACATAGGGACTACGCTACTACTACAGAGGCCTTATGCATTTTGGTTCCGGTGTCGGTACTGGTCCCCACCAGTCCGAACCGGTACCAGTATCCATGTCTCAGACGAGACACAGACATAATCCCCAGAAAACCTGATCAACTCCTGCAACCAAATATACGGAGCATGCTGACATAAACCTCGATTTCATAAGTACCACAATAGCCCAAGCACTGATGATTCCCAAGGGGGGTGAAAAAGTCAAACAACCGAAAAGTTACCACAGAGTAAAGCCTGTGTTTTGGCGATTCGGCAGTTTGTGCTGATCAAGAGTAAAACTACTTAATTCAGTCACTTTTTGCTAAAATCGTATGACAATATTATGTCATAAACATGACCAGACTGGACTCGTATTCGTGACGCTACGTATCCACGATTCAGGCAAATGAAAAATAGTGACCTGCCAGCACACAGTAATTCGATCCCATCCGGGAAATACCAATCCGCCGACCACCGACCGCCGACAGCACCAACATTCCCATCAGTTATGGCCGGTGAACACAAATCGGATATTGACATTCTCCTTTGCCTGGAGAAGCCCCAAGTATTCTTCATACCCGTCGGGTTTGGATGCGAGCGCGCCATCTACGTCAACATCCGCAGCGCCAATTACAATACTTGGCCCGTTGGGTTTCGGAAGCGACTGCATTTGCTTTGCGTTTGTAACAAAGATCATGTCGAATGGAGAGTCTCCATCAAATTCCACAGGGAGGGATCTTTTTTTTAAACCTGGCAGTACCATCCGGTGCCACTGTGAAGCGGAAAGAAGGAACAACTTCCGTATCGGCTCTGCCGCTTGTAGGAAAGCAAAAAGCAGGGCTCAGAAACCGCGGGGCGATCGGGTTGCTCTCTTCTGCATTCGCATCTTCGGAGGTCGCTGTAATGGCATTCTTCCAAGTGTGCAAAAAAGCACCCATCGTTGCGTTGCCCATTCTGAATGCCTTCTGGCTCTTTTCCTTCTTCTTTCCCTTGTCTTTGTCAGTATTCGCCTGCGCGCTTGAGCCACCAGCGCCTGCGCCATTGTCTTTCGCAGTAGCCGCAGCTTCCGAGACTTATTTTCGACTTCTTCTTCACAATCATCATAAGCTGAAGCTTCCATGCTTTGCTCATCATCAGTTGCATCATCAGCGGGTGGATCAACGTTTTGCCTACTCAGCATGACCTCTGGTACCTCCGTCTTCAGGAGACCGCATTTCTGCAATTCCTCACCGAGGTAGTGATTACATTCTTCTCCATTCTTCGTGTGCTTCGCCTGAAGGCCTCGGAAATTGGTGACGACATCGCAAAAAGGCGCCTTTCTCCATTTATAAATATGGTACGAGTGTCAGCTTGAGAAGGGATGTGGATTCGCTTCGTCGCTTTTGGTGGCGGCACCGCTTTTGTCAAGCGGGCGAGACACACACCCTTTTCTTGGGTAGTGAAGTTGCTCAGTGTCTCCAGATACACAGCATGCAGCGCTGTGGTAACCTCAAGTCCACCCCAATTGTCATAAATGGTCGCATCAACCCCCAGCAGGTTGTATAGTAACATACTCATTGCTGGCGTAATGGAAACGGATCTTTTGGTCTTCTTGGCCTCGTCGTCCACAAAATCGGTTGAGACACGCACATCCTCGGCAGAGGATACTTCCACATGCAAGTCCATCACGCCTTGAGCCTGTCTCTTGACCTTGACTCGTTCTCCTTCTTCTAGTGACGAGAGTGTGCCGAATTTGGGAAACCGAGGATTATCGGTTCCGTTGTCCTGGTCGAGTTCATGAAAAACTGCATATGCCAACGCTTTCCGCTGCCGTTCCAATAGCTTGCCAATCCCATTAAAAGCAGCGTACCTCCCGATGACAATTTGAATCACAGCACCAATACATCCTTGCAATTTGATGATGGGGTGGCCCTTTTTAAGGTCGTTGACCGCATCAAGGGTGAACACAGCTGCTCGGGCATTTGGTGATCAATCGTTTCAACATTGGATATTTACCAATTTCTTCCACGTAGCGTTTCCCGTCACCGTTCTCTGGGTACCTCTTCGCTGCTACTAAAGCCAATTTGTCCTCATCCCATGGCTGCATCTGGTACTTGTGTATATCAGTGGAAGAGGAAAGCCGGTGGGAGTTTTATCGTAGCCTGTGCCGGCAAGGATCAGCCGAGGGTGTTCAGCATATTTCCGGATTTCTCCGTAGATGTCTTCCAAGATCTCTTTATTGTTCAAAAGAGTGTCCATCGTTCCGGCTAATCCAGGATGAGGGATACTCTCATTTTGAGTTGCGTCTTACTGTTTGGGTCCCATTGCCATTTTTCATCGCTACCCGCTTTCAGGGCTGCCTTCAAGACTTCCCCTATGCGGTCAACAAACGTTGTTTGAATGTAGTGAGAGGCAGCGTGGTCACTCAGAGAATAGTAAGCGCAAGCGCGAAGGTCCGCTTTATCATCCTTCTTTGATAGAAAGGCCAAGCGATTGATGGCATACACAGTTTTTCCGCTGCCGCTGGGGCCCTGGACAATATGGATGTCGTATTGCCGTTCATCGTTGTCTGAAGCCTTGACCGCAATTGCGTCTCTCGAAAACTGGCCTGTATGGGCTATTTCCTCACTCAATTGTCCGCCTGCTATATCAAGAATTTTCTTGTGGAGAGTTTGTTCTGCACTCAACACTGGCTGAATATTTGTAGTTTGAAGAAAAGCCGAGAGTTCTCCCCAACCGTAACCACCTACATGTTCTGAGAGCTTCATTTTACATTCTTTGCTTCCCGCAGCGCCGTGTGTCTTCCTCTTCAACTCTCCCACCGCCCTGATGCTGTACTCCTTAAGAACTTTTTTTGCGGGTTCGAGGTCTCTGGCCTTCCAGCGTTCGTCCTCAAGCATCTCCTCGGCGCTGTCTTCGTATGCCACTTGCGCTTGTTATCCTTGTTATCCTCCGTCATGGTTGATGCTTCGTTATTGCTGGTGGGCCTTTTGTGTGTGGTGCACGTGTGCTACCGGTAGGAACGATCCGACAGTGAGAATATTCCAAAAATAACGAAGTTTTATTATTTAGGCTGCACCTCAATAGACCACCCGCTGAACGGAGCCATATTGAACCGGAGTACCTCAGACGTACAAGGACGCCCACATAGGAACCGGCCTAGTGCAAGCCCCCCACCGGAGAAGTTTAAAAACTCCGGAGGGTGCTTTGCAGCTAACGAGCTACCTTTGGCTGGATTGCCATCTATTTCTACGGTAAGACCTCCTCTGTGCATAGTTACCCTGTGTCAATGTTCTGCACTGTGCGTGCATGCTCGTCCCTGAGTGCCTTGTCGACGACGGGCAGCCAATTGGCAAGCCACGCTTTGATGTCGCCTGGGCCCTTTGCCATTTGCTCGTCAAGCGGTCGCTTGAAGATAAATCCACCAGCTCCGCTGGGATCAATCCCTCTTCTCGTAAATGAGTTCCACCTCCCGCTGAAGCTTTCGTGCTTCTTCTTCCACTGGTCTCCCTGTCTTTGCCATGCCTGGCAGCATTTCGATCCTCCACAGGTTCCACCACTGCTGGATAGCAGTGAGGCTAGGTTGTTGACCCAGAGCTGCCCGTCTTGGTGGTCTCCTGGGAGCCGACCCGATGCAGATATGATCTTGATGCTTAGCCCAGTGCGTGAACAAACGTCCTCTCAGGAATTGTCCCAACCAATGAGATTTGAGTGTCAACGAGGTCCCTATACCTGTCAGGGTAATGCCATGGTGGAGAATCGATCTTCGAAATGGTATTGTAGTCCATCCAGGCAATTTCCAGGAGGAAGGGTCGGTGGAATCCTTGCGCAACTTGTGTGCTGATCGCTCGTTGCATGTCCCTCGCCACAGATCCACGTCAACATGTGGCATCGGTAAACATGGGTTTAGTCTCGTGATCACCGCCAACACGGGGACAGTGGTGATCATACTTGGGTCATCCCGGTGGACCCGTTTCCCACTGGCAACAATTGAAATAGGAACTTCACAATGGTCGGTTTGTGATCTCATGACGGTTACGGCTCGACCATGGGCGTCCAATCAACCAGTGCAGGGGTGTCCTCGTCCCGTCGGGTTCAGTTTGACAATATGGTCGAACAGGGGCTGGTCGTTCCTGAGGATGTCCGCAGTGTTCTGGGAAGCGTGTATGTGCATGTTCCTTTGGGAAGGTGCAGCTGGGCCAGGTTTGCCGGAAATCGGAGACCTTGGAGTGATCCTGTTGGATGTTCGTTCATGTAACTGCCTGCCAGTTTGTCAGCTCTGCGTTCAGTTGTGCTTTTAGGGGTAGCTATCGATGGCCTTGTGCTTGTCCTGTGCGATTTGATGTGCTCCATCTTGGCACAGTGACTGCAGCCCGGAACGAATCCTCGATCTGCTGCAAGGACACCCAGTCGAGTCCAACGAATCATTGGGTACCATCCTCATACTCGAGACAGCTAGCGCACTTATTCGTCACATATTCATTGTCGCATAGTGTACATAATTCTTCATGCTGTTCTATCGTAGAACTCCAGCAATCGTCTAAGAAGGAAAGTAGGGGATAGAATGCATAAGGCCTCCGCCCTGTATGAAGTCGGAACCATCCAAAAACTGGACCAGAGACCGAAGCACAATTTGGCCGTGGTTGTCTGCCAGGACCCATGCAAAACTGCCTTACCGCTTCAATGTCTGCAGCCCCATCCTGGCCACCCAAAGGGCATGGCTGTGACAATCTGCAGGACTGAGTAGGCGTCCACCTCCACTCAAGCTCGTCATAGAGAGCTGTTTCCAAGGCTCCAAAGTGGCAAGGAAATCCTCAAATGTTGTCGGTGTGGGTG